TATGGCACCGAAAAAATTTGATACTTGGGTTCCATCCTCGCCACCGTGCGAAGAAAATTATCGTAATTATACAAGTGTTCAAGCGTATGCGAGTGCACAACGGCGTCGATTTTCGGCGCGCTAGCAGGCAACTCAAGCTCATCCCCAAACCACGCCTTGATCGGACGAATTTGACTCGAATGTTCACCGTTTGCTAGCCAATCTGGTAAATTCGGCTCCACCATGATCCACTCGCACTGTTCTGCGTGTCTCTCCGTGAACATCTTGGCTAGGTGTCCGTGCCCTCCCCCGATCTCCAAAATGGCTCTGGAACCGAATTCGTCGATAAAGTTGCAAAATTCTTCGTGGTGTCGCTTCCACAGTCCTCCGATGGCGCCGGATTCGTGTTGGCAGTCATACAAAGTCGTCAACTCGATCAGTCGAGTGAGCTGAATGACACCAGAGCTCTTACAGATGGACCAGTGCATGTCTGTAAAGTATTCAGTCCCTTCCCAGTCCTCTGGGACGCAGTACATGCCAACGGGGAAGTCTCGCAGCGTCAAAAGCGGTTCGAAATCCGTTGCGCCGGTCATCACGTATGGCACCGAAAAAATTTGATACTTGGGTTCCATCCTCGCCACCGTGCGAAGAAAATTATCGTAATTATACAAGTGTTCAAGCGTATGCGAGTGCACAACGGCGTCGATTTTCGGCGCGCTAGCAGGCAACTCAAGCTCATCCCCAAACCACGCCTTGATCGGACGAATTTGACTCGAATGTTCACCGTTTGCTAGCCAATCTGGTAAATTCGGCTCCACCATGATCCACTCGCACTGTTCTGCGTGTCTCTCCGTGAACATCTTGGCTAGGTGTCCGTGCCCTCCCCCGATCTCCAAAATGGCTCTGGAACCGAATTCGTCGATAAAGTTGCAAAATTCTTCGTGGTGTCGCTTCCACAGTCCTCCGATGGCGCCGGATTCGTGTTGGCAGTCATACAAAGTCGTCAACTCGATCAGTCGAGTGAGCTGAATGACACCAGAGCTCTTACAGATGGACCAGTGCATGTCTGTAAAGTATTCAGTCCCTTCCCAGTCCTCTGGGACGCAGTACATGCCAACGGGGAAGTCTCGCAGCGTCAAAAGCGGTTCGAAATCCGTTGCGCCGGTCATCACGCACGAGTCTCTCTGAACAATGTGCTCGCTGGGGAGGGCGGTGGCGCGCGTGTTCACCATCGCGGCGTCCGGACGGTTATCTTCTCCCACGTCGGTCATCGCGAGGGATGGCTTAAACTTCGTGTCAAGTGAGGAGGGCCTTGTGGCTTGAGCGCAGTGGCGTCAGTAAGCGCGACCTTCACGGCTTTTTCTGAGGCTGAAAAAGAGATTGAATCCAATCCAACGATTTATGAGCGTACCGGTACCGGTTGTAGGAAAAATTCTTGCTAACGCCCCTTTAGAGAGTCCCCCAACGGTGGACGAGTCATGAATTGTCGAGAAATTGTGTAGTTTACATAGATAAGTGCTACTCCCTTACGACAATTGCCAATTGTCAATTGCCCCGCGTTGCACCAGCGCTCGCTCTGTCGCGATGGACCCACAACTGGTGCACCCGGCGAACGCGTGAATCGAGTGCGTTTGTCGCCACGGAGTAGCTAAAATACTCTCTACAACATCTACGAGAGGTAGTTCCTAATGCTAATTTGTTCGCCTTTGCTTGCCTTGCGTTTGTGCTCATCGACCATCTTCTCATGCCAGCCCCTCTTCCTGCTCAACGCCGTATCATCCCGCCTCCCTCTCATAGGAATCGCAACCAGGTTCGACATACCGATCACGCCATCGCCGTCCATTTTGCTATTCCTCGACATGTTTTGAGACATCTCTCTGTGTGTCTTCAAGTTGTTCATGAAACGTTCAAGTTTGTCGAGCGTGTCTGTGATGTGTGCGGCTTCATCAGGCTCGAACGTGAATTCCGGATTGTTTGCGGGTTGTATCATCTCGGTATACGATTGAACCCAGCGTGACTTAACACTCGCTTTGTCGAAAGCTGCGCCGAGGCTTCTCCTATGAGTTGGTTGGAAGGCTTCAACATCATCTTGTATCGTTGGCACGTCTACTTCAATCTCAGTAGTCTGAACATCATCAGGTTTGCACCATCAGGTTCACCGACACGTAGAGCTCACGAAGCGATTAACTGCTCGCATGAATCCGCTCGCGACGACGTGCGTCCGAGATTTGAAACATCCGTCACTTTCAGCAGAATCTCCGAAGACGTCACGGATGAAATCGAGGCGAAACTTTTGGAGGCGATGAAGACGGTGTTGCACGACAACGGCGATTTCACCGTCGGCGTCACCATCTCCAGTTGAATTGTGGTTCACCTCGAACAATTGTGCTTCTAAGACGGCTTGCCTTGACCGCGTTAAACAAGCCACTATCACAAATCTTGTACTGCTACTTGTACTGCTACTTGTACCTACGTTGAATACTACGTATCCATAGGCTGCGAGAAATAATATTCGCTCGTGAACCGGACTTTTTTCCCGTCTTCTTCGGCGAAGACGACGTCGAGCGGTCTCGTGTCGACGTCGCACGGTTCAATCTTGCAATAGTCACGGTGCATGTGTGAACAGCGTGTGTCGTCACACCGAAATATGATGGCTCGGTACATTTCACCTCCATCTCCTTCCGATATCAAACGACCGACGGTGTGATTGACTGCGACGTGTTGTGCTCGACACTCAGACGATGCCCAGAGAGAGCCGCACGGGTTATCACTTGGTGGGTTCGCTGGAATGCACGACTCGAAAGCGTCGGCGATCGACGCATAGTGATCCATCGTATCTCTCGACACGATCGCGAGCGCATCTGTCATGGAATCCACGTCCACGCCCTTCGCGACTTGTCGATTCGCGTCGATTTCCCCATCTCTTTTGAACCAACACATGCCACTCAAGATCAAATTCTTCTTCAAACCCATCCACGCGCTCGCTCGAGGAAGTTTAGCGTAATACTCGATGTCCGGTCTCGTCAAAACGATCCAATCGAAGGTTTCGTTTCGCTCTCGTTCGCGTCGACGAACGTCTTCCGCGCACGCGCGTTGTCGAAACGTCTGCGGCCAACCCGCGCTCAAACACCCCGCGCGTCCGACGTTTCCACGATTCTCCACCTCGTACACCTCGAGCGACGTCGGAGACCAAAATTCGCGAAGCGTGTTTTCTATTATTTCGTCCATACCCTTGGCGTCGAGGTGAAGGAACACCTCGACGTCGCCACCGTCCTCAATGAGCGGCGTCGTCAACACCGCGCGCGCATGTTCGCGCACGTCTCGACGTGCCATGGCGCGCACCTGTCCGACAACACACACCGCGAACGACGGTCGCGGAGCTGTGTGTGATGACGTCGCGATGGTCACCGTCGTCACGCGCGTAGAGGCGTTCCGTTGCGTCGTCGACACGCGGTCGAGAGTCTTGCGCGAAGGGATGTCCCTTTGAAGAGTTCTTAACGTGCCCAGCGTGACGACGGCGAGAGCGACGAAGGCGAGGACGATTAAAGTCGAACGCGACGATGTGCGATTCACCATCACGTGTTCATCCATCGCGACGTCGACATCGCTCGCGCCTTCACCACCGAAACTCCTCATGATGAGGTGCTTGAATCCGGTATCGGCAGTTTCCCGATACGTTCCGGCGTACTGGGACGTACCAGCCGAATGTCCGAACGCGTTAATCGTATGGGTAAACAGTATTGATCGGCGGGTACGAGCTGATACGAGCTGATACGAGCAAAATTTTCCTTTGCCTTGTCCCGAGCAGGACGTGAGTCATCACCCTGTACCTGCATGTTTTCATCGAGGTTACCTACACATGTCATTTCCGTTCGATTCGAAACGTTTGCAAGTGGTAACATGACTCGCTCGTCCGTGTCTTTGACGTACCGGTCCACATGCTCGTCATCTGACGAGATCATTTCGTCGTCTCTGATTCCATCATCATCACCATCGCTGTCAGCACCGACCACGGCACCGACGGCTACTTCACTTTCTTCTACCTCGCACATCATAATGATCTTGTCCTGCTCGCGCGACGCGCGTTTGTCTGTACTATCATTTTCCATATTAAAATATTTAGAGCCGCGCGTCGACGTCGCGCGCGATCGCCGCGCGACGCGCACTCGTCGACGCGACCGAGCGTCGAGAGAGGTGCGCGAACGCGAACGCGAACGCGTTTTACGCACATTCGTTCCTCGTGCGTACGACTCGTGCGAGGCGTCGCGCGTTCGGTGCGGCGTCTGGATAAACGTTCGTCGCGGGGACGATGATTTCAGCGGCGACGTCAACCGCGGCGTCGGTGCGCGTCACCGCGAGCGCGCGATCGTCCGGGGCGCGCGAGCGCGCGGGCGTGAAGGCGAAAACTATCCGCGTCGTCAACGCGCGAGTGCGCACGGGCGAACGCGGGGCGGTGCAGAGCGCGGGCGCGATCGCGATCGGCGGCTTTGAGGACTTGCCCAGGAGCGGGCTGGATGGGAAAGCCTTGACGTTCCCGCACAAGGACGACTTCCCAACGCGCGCGGCGGTGCTGTCGAAGATTCCGGAGGAGTGCTTCAAGAAGGACACCGCCAAGTCGTTGATGTACGCCGCGATTTCCACCGCGATGACCGTCGGGTGCGGCTTGCTCGCGTACGCCTTTCTCCCGCTCCAAGCGGCGTGGTGGCCGGCGTGGTTCGCCTACGCGTTCGTTAACGGTACGATCGCCACCGGATGCTGGGTCATCGCGCACGAGTGTGGTCACAACGCGTTCAGCGACAACCGGTTCATTCAAGACGCGGTCGGCTACGCGTTGCACAGCGTTCTCCTCGTGCCGTACTTCTCTTGGCAACGCTCGCACGCGGTGCATCACTCAAGAACGAATCACTTGACCGAAGGCGAGACGCACGTGCCGTACGTCAAGGGCGAGTTGAAGGGCGATTTGAACATCAAGGCAAAGGAAAGCCTCGGCGAGGGCCCGTTCGCGATTCTTCAGTTGGTCACTCACTTGGTCTTTGGCTGGCCGGCGTATCTCCTAACGGGCGCCACCGGCGGCAGCGCGCGCGGGGTCACCAACCACTTCTTGCCGAACGTCAACACCGGCGCGCTCGAGTTGTTCCCGGGTAGCTGGAAGAAGAAGGTGTACTACAGCGATGTCGGCGTCTTCGCCTTCATCGGCGTGCTCGCCGCTTGGGTCGCTACATGCGGCTGGGCACCGTTCCTCGCGCTCTACGTGGGCCCATATATGTTCGTTAACTTCTGGCTCGTCCTTTACACTTGGTTGCAACACACCGACGTTGACGTCCAGCACTTGGCGGCGGAGCAATGGTCGTACATTAAGGGCGCGTTCTTGACCATAGACCGTCCGTACGGCCCAGTGTTTGACTTTTTGCACCACAGAATCGGTAGCACGCACGTCGCGCACCACGTTGAGTGCGCTATCCCGCACTACAAGGCGACCGAGGCGACCGAGGCGCTCAAATCAAACTTCCCGGATTACTATTTGTACGATCCCACGCCGATTTGGCGAGCCATGATGCGCGTCGCGAGCAAGTGCGTCGCCGTCGAGGAGCGAGGCGAGGGCAAGGATGCGATGTGGACGTTCACGGATTCGGCGTGATCCACGAGCGCGAACGCGCGCAATTTTAGCACACACAATGTTATACTAGGCTTCGATTCAAAATTTACGACAACGCGCGAGACCAAGCGCCAGATTTCCCACCCGTCTTCTTCTCTAGTCGTACGTCTCCTATCACGATGTCCTTGGACACCGCCTTGCACATGTCGTAAATAGTCAGCCCACTCACCGCGGCTGCGGTGAGTGCCTCCATTTCCACTCCGGTCTTTCCACTGCAGTGCGCCGTGGCTCGAATGTCGATGGCGTGCTCGTCTTTCGCGAGCGTCAAGTCGACACTCACGGAATCGAGAGCGACGGCGTGACAGAGTGGAATCAAATCGTGCGTTCGCTTCGCGCCCATGATCCCCGCGAGACGAGCGACGGCGAGAACGTCACCCTTCTTCACTCCGTTATCTCGCACGAGCGCGAACGCGTCGGCGCCCAGGTACACGCGCGCCGAGGCGACGGCTTCCCGCGCCGTCGTCGCCTTCGCGCCAACATTCACCATCGTCGCCTTCCCCGTTCGCGCGTCCACGTGCGTGAGCGTCGCGAACGATCGCGACGTCGACGGCGTCGCGACGGACGCCGGCGTCGTCGTCGACGTCGACGCGGACGTCCCGAACGCCTCGTTCAAAGTCTCGTTCGCCTCTCGAATCGATTCGTCCGAGGTCGACGTCGAGCTCGTGAACGCGAACGCGCGCGCGATCGAGCTCGCGGGAGGACGCCGCGACGACGCCATCGTCCTCGTCGCGCGCGCGAGCGCTCGAACCGAGCGAGTGGACATCGAGCGCGCGCGCGAACGACTAACGCCGACGTTGAAGGCTCCGCGCAGGGCGCGCGCACCGCATTCGTCGTCGCGTCCGGCGTCGAGGTCTCCGAGCCGGCGCGCATGGCGCCCTCGAACGCGCAGAAGAAGGCGCTGGCGAAGGCCAAGCGCGGGATCGTGAGCACGGGCGCGATGTCGTCGAAATCAGGCTTTGACCAAGCGGCGCTGCAACAGAACAGAGACCATCAGTGTCCGCACTGCGAGCGAACGTTCAAGCAGCTCGATCGATTACGAATGCACGTCGCGAGACAACACGCCGACGTTGGCGGTGAAGAGACCTCGAGCGCCGCGACCGTTCAGGGAGGGCTCGATGGGGTCAAGAAGGGTAAGGCGGCGCTCATCATAGCGGAGAGAGAAAAGTTGAAGGAACGGGCGCGGCTCGAACGAGAGAGCGACCCGACCGCGAAACCGAACGCGCCGACGCCGTTCTCGAGGATGAGTTGTAAGCTTCCGAGCGTCATCTTACGAGAGTTTGTGCAGAAACAGAAGGAATTCAAATCGCCGAGGTTCAGAGCGAAGGAGGAGAGCGCCGAGAACGGAGGCGGATGGACGTGCAAGGTTGTCCTAGCGGACAAGCACAAGCCGGACAAGGATAAGGTGTTCTTTTGGAAGGAAAAATGCGAGACGAAGGAAGAGGCGGAGCACAGAGTTGCCGTCGTCGCGCTCGCGAAGATTGCGAATTCGCTGCCGCTGCAGCGATTGTTGCCGACAGAGTACAAGTCGACCTTCGTCGAGTGCGAGAGGCTGGAGGCTAAGCGCTTGGAAGACGCCAAAAATCACGCGGCGAGAGAAGAACAGCGCATAGCTCGTATGAAATCAGCCTCAAAGCGCGAGGTGGTGCAAGTTTTGACGATGAGTGAGGAGAAGCGCACGCTCGTTGAGACTCTTCTGAAGGAGGACTACGTCATGGTTTCGTCGGCCGACGACGACGGAGCGGACGAGGATGAAGAGGGTGGGGTGAATGAGCTGTGTGAGAAATTAGAAAGTTTAGGATTCGTGCGTGAAGACGCACTCGCGGCATCTAAGGCGACGAAATCAACGCTGGAGAGCGCGCTCGATCCCGCCATAAGCTGGCTCTGCGTCCACGTTCCGGAATCGAGACTACCGGCGCTGTACGCCCCAAAGTTGCTCAACGACGGCGGTGTTGTGTTATTGAGTAAACCAACGGCATCGACGAGTTCGGCGTCAGCGGATGCGAGACCGACGAACCCAACCACGGCGTGGTTATGGGAGCGGGGTTACGATCAGAAATCGTGCGAAGACGCCGTGAGCGAGCACTCCGGACGAGAAGACGCGCTCGCGCATCTCTTCGGTCGGGTTCTCGCCAAAGTTTCCACCGAACACGCTTCGTGGCCGAAAGGAGACCCGAATTTCAACGAAGAAGAGTGGAACGAAGAATTGATGGCCATAGAAGCGATATGCGGAGAGGAAAAGGTTTCCAGGATTCAGGGCGGCGGCGTTCGCGTAAACGTCGACACAGAGGTTGGTATCGGCGGCACGCTGGAGGTGTATCTTCCGAAGGGCGGAGGATATCCCTGCGTCGAACCTCCAATCATCGCCTATCACGCCCATGGCGAGTCCAGAGAGGCATTCATGCGAGCGACGAGGGAACTCGCGCGAATCGCCGTCGAGAATTGCGGCGCGCCGTGCGTGTACACCCTGATTGACGCGGCGCCTGGATTGGTGAAATTCGAGACGCGCGGAGACGTGAAAGGCGCGTCCAAGGTACGGACGCCGACGAGCGCGCTGCCGATGCCGAAGGGTACAGACTTGCTCGTTCCGAAACACGCCAGCGCGCGCGAGACGAAGTCGGTGGCGCAAAGGACGCCCGCGAAACGACAGAGAGAACGCCGCGGCATGTCACAAGCTGAGATGTCAGCCGAGAGCGATCGACTTCGTGACGCGTTTGATGAGTACCTTCACATGGCGAAGAAAGGCAAAGGTGACCCGTTCGCCATGATGACAGTCCGATCGAACCTGCCGGCGAGCGGGAGTAGAGAGGAAGTGACGCGAGCGGTGAACAAGGCGTCAGTCATCGTCCTGAGCGGTGAGACGGGTTGCGGTAAATCAACGCAGGTGCCTCAGTTTATACTAGAATCCGAGATCGCGGCCGGTCGAGGAGGGCAAACAAACATCATCGTGACGCAGCCGAGAAGAATATCAGCGATTGGACTCGCCGAGCGCGTCGCGGCGGAGCGATGCGAACGGTGCGGCGATGTTGTCGGATACTCTGTGCGCCTTGAGTCCAAGCAATCCGCCAAAACGCGGTTATTGTTCTGTACCACCGGCGTATTGATTCGTCGACTTCTTTCGGATCCGTTACTCGAAAACACGACGCATGTCATTCTCGATGAAGTCCACGAGAGATCCGTGGACTCTGATTTATTACTCCTTCTCTTACGACGAGTCATCGCTAAGAATCCAAAAATGCGAATTGTGCTCATGTCCGCTACGGCTGACGCAGATTTGTTCGATTCTTACTTTAAGCATCCGTCTCCGATTGCCGCCGTCTCCGGCGTGTCCACGACGCAGGTGCACATCGCGGGTTTCACCCATCCGGTTCGCGAGTATTTCCTCGAGGACGTATTCGAGATGACGGGTCACACGGTTGGAAGAGGTGGTCCGTACGCAAAGCGTAAGCAGGTAAGGCGCGTGAAATCGAACGAACGATTAGAAGCTACTCTGGCCGAAAAGGCTGTGAAACGACGGGAAGAGCGCATCGCTCTTGGTCTTGAGCGAGACGACGAAGATGACGACGACGACGGAGATGAAGACGACGAAAACGAGGAAGGCGAAAACGTGCCAGAGGACTGGGATCTCGTCGACGACGAGCACGCGTACGAGGTGAAGAAGTCACAAATCGTCGTCGATGAGTCGACGGCTGAATCAATGGTACCGATGAAGACGGCGACACAAATCGAGGAAGAGCGGCGACGAGCCGATTTGCTCGCAGAGGCGTCACGAGAGCTTGCTCGATACGCGCCGCAAACGAAAAGCAGCATCCGAAACGTGGACGAATCCATCATAAATTACGACGCCATCGAACAGTTGATCGCGTGCATCATTCGGACTGAGATTGAACAAGGTACGAACGCACTCGTGCCGCCACCAGTCGCAGGAACGAAGCCGAAAGATGTCGGACTCGGCGCTTTTCTCATCTTCATGCCGGGACAGTTTGAAATTTTGCGACTGATTCGCAAGCTTGAACAGTCGAGACTCTTGGAAGAGCGCGACGTGGGGACTCTACGTATCTTACCTCTGTACGGCTCATTATCGTCCAAGGACCAGCGTCGAATTTTCGAGAGGTCACCGGAAGGCGTGCGCAAAATCGTCGTCGCAACAAACATAGCTGAAACGTCCGTCACGATTGACGATGTTAGATACGTTATCGACACCGGACGCGCCAAGGAGATGCAGTACGACAGCTTGCGTGGGCTCTCAGTTTTGGCTGACACGTGGGTGTCGCAAGCCGCGTCGAAGCAGCGCCGTGGCCGCGCCGGTCGTACCGCTCCAGGCGCGCGCTTTGCGATGTTCTCTCGCGCTCAGTTTGCAAACATGTCTCCGCAACAACCGCCAGAGATGCTTCGCACGCCGCTACAGCAGCTTTGTCTATCGATCAAGGCGATGAGTAGCGAACCCGTCGCACAGACCTTGGGTGCGGCGCTTTCACCTCCCGATGCGTGCTCGGTCTCGGCCGCTCTTGACGAGCTTCGAGCGTTGCGCGCGCTCGATCCCGACGAGGCGTTGACGCCGCTCGGACGTCATTTAGCGCAGATGCCCGTGGATGCACGGATTGGCAAGATGCTTCTATTCGGCGCGTTACTTGGATGTCTGGATCCGATTCTAACGATTGCCGGCGCGATGAGCGGCCGCCCGCTATTTTTCTCGCCCAAGGACAACCGTGATGCCGCTGATCGAGCGAAACGAAGTCTGTCGGCGAACAAGAGTGACCACCTCACCATGGTTGCCGCTTACAACGGTTGGGCAAAGGCGTGCGAGAGAGGTAAACCATTTGAGCGTAGGTATTGCGAGGAATATTTTCTCAGTCAACAAGCGCTCGAGGCTGTGCGCACGAGTCGATCGGACTACGCGCAGATTCTTGCAGATTTGGGTTTCGTGCGACGCGAGTATCTGAGCAACATGCGACGTCACGGCTCTGGAGGGACTGAGGCGGATTCGAACTCCAATGTCACGCGTGTCGTCAAAGCGGCGTTGGTGGCTGGATTCTACCCGCACGTCGTTCGCGTCAAGCATCCGGAGACGAAGTACGTGCAAACAAACGCGGGCGCCGTCGCGAAGGAGGCGAATAGCCGCGAGCTCAAATATTACTCCAAAGATCTCGGACGCGTCTTCTTGCATCCGACGTCGGTGAACTTTCACTGCGGGAAGTACGAGAGTCGCTGGATTGTGTACAGCGAACGCGTCGAGACAGCGAAAGTGTACATCCGCGACAACACGATGGTCGGCGCGTACTCGCTTCTACTTTTCGGCGGCGACGTGAGCGTTGAACACGACAAGGGTTTCGTCGCGGTGGACGGCTGGGCGCGATTCCAAGCGCCCGCGCGCATCGGCGTTCTCATCAGAGAGTTGCGACAGCGCGTCGATCAGCTCTTGTCGGACCGAATCAATCACCCGACTGCGCACTTGACGTCGACGCCAGTCGTGCGAGCGCTCTTAGAACTTTTGGCATCCGAGGGACATTAGAGTGCACCGTGTGATGGACACAGGATGAAAACGCTTTGTCACGTAGTACGACGGAAAACTCTGTGCCGTCGCGCATAACAATATTTCCCCATTTTCTACTCGTCGAGGCCGCCACACATAGTGGCCGCCACACACCGGCGCGCCAGTAGTGTCAAGAGCGCGCGTTTCTCGCCACCCGTAACAGATTGTGACTGCGTGAACACACGAAAGCGCACACATAACACACCGATAACGTCTGCGTTCTTTCAACGTCATGGTTATCAAGGTTATCAACGTGTCGCTCAAGTCGCACAAAAAGCAAGCCGTCTGGGTCGTGGTTCTGTTTTTCACCGCGCTCGTCTACGCGTCGAGTCGCCGTGGCGACACGAGAGACGTGGACGATGTGATTTCGACGACAAACATCGTCGCGGACGCGCGTGCGGGGGCGGTGACCGGCGCTGAGGTCGTGGCGAGGTCGGAAACAACAGACGAACAGAGGTATGCGGTGATCGCACCAGTACACTCGCTCAAGGCATTTGAAGTACTCCGCGTGACTTGGGGTTTATTCAAACCGTGCGATGAAACAACGGGACATCTCAGTCATAGTGTGGACTTAATCTTCATGACGGACGCACACCTCCCGTCGCTCGACATTCCCGGCGGACGCTGCTTCGACGACGTGTACCAACTGCGACCGCTGGTACCGAGTTGTTACGACACCTATGCGGGGGGCCCGCCGTATTGTTTCTTCACGATGATGCTACACCGAGATTTGGATCGAAAATACGCCGCGGTGTTACAGATGGAGGCCGATTCGGTTCCTGTGAAGCACGATTGGCTTTCAGCAGTGGTCGAAACCGTGCTCCGGCCGACGTCGGGAGAGGTGTGGATACAAGCGGCGAAGAATACGTATAACCATGATTACTTCAACGGAAACGGGGCTTACAACTTACGCAACGAAACATTTAGACAGTTTCTCTCCGAATACAGAGAGTGGTTCTACACCAAGGTTTCGGGCGACACCGCCTTTGACTCAAACATGATCAGATTCGCTCAGGCGACTGGTCAATTCGATGCGTTCACTCGGCATTTACAAGGCTCGAGAGCGATTCGTAACTGTGATCTCATGTCTCTGGCAGAATGTCGATCGGCGCTCGATCCGAAAACGTGGGGTGGTCCCACCCCTGCGGCTATTCTAGTTCATAGTCACGCGTTTAAAGAGCCGAGCGAGGTTCGTCGCCAGCTGCTTGTCGAGCTCCTGGGAAACGAAACCGTGAATCTGCAAAGGTGAATGAATGCGTGTTCGCGCGTGAACCCGTGATTGTCACGCGTAAGTTGGCACATCTGTGTATATTTTTATGACGAGTATAATTTATCTTTGCGCTCTTTCAAAGCACGACGTTAAAGAAACACGCGACGTCTTCACGCCGAATAGCTCGAGAGGGGATTCCCCATCGCCGCGCTCGTGCTTGAGTCGTCACCTCGGGACTCACCGTTTGCAATCTCGTACTCAAACATTCGTCCGTACGTGCGTTTCACCAGTTGAATGATGGTGGCTCTGTCGCGAATCGTGACGCGCTTGCCAGCGCGAACCAGACGCTTCGCCACTTCGATTGGTTGGGACTCTTCGATAATGTCAACCGGGCAATCCGGTTTATACGCGACGTCCGATATGACGTATCGATCTAGATTTTGATCGAGCAGTGTTTTCGCCATGATTTCGGCGTGTAGACGGTTGTATCTGTCCGTCGCGTCGCACAGCGTCGGCTCGATGCCGACCAATCGAGCGTACGTGCCGAGCGCTCGGTTATCTCTGGGAAAACACGGTCCTCCAAACCCATAACCCGGAAGTATACACTTGTGTCCGACGCGAGAATCACTTCCGACGGCGCGTAAAATGTCATCCTTTCGCGCTCCCGGCGTCGCGTCGGCAATGTCGCCGACCATGTTGGCAAAACTAATCTTTGTGGTTACGAAACAGTTGACGCTCAGCTTCATAATCTCGGCGCTTTGTGGAGACATGCGACAAATTTGGGGCGTGTTCGAGGTCGTGGTTTCGTATAAACGTTGTAAAACGTCTCCGATCTCAGTGTTTCCTTCGCCGATGAGCACGACGTCGGGTTCCGCTAACCCGCGCATGATGGCGCCCTGCGCGATGAACTCTGGGTTATAGCTCAGCGTACACCCGTCGCAATCTTCAAGCAAATACGAACCGGTCGACGCGATGTAACCCGGTAGAACGGTACAGCAGACGACGATGTGTTTGTTCCTCGGTTTTAACTTGGAGATGTCCCACAAAACTCGGCTGAGCGTCGTCGTGTCGTACGCGTTGTCACCGACACCAGTCGGCGTGGCGACGAGAATGAATATGACATCCGCGTGATCCAAGACTTCTTTCAAACTGAGCGTCGCGCGTAGTCGTTCACACGATCGAAGAGCTTCCTCCACGCCGGGCTCAGATGATTTCAGGCTCTTGTCGTTGATGCTCTCGACGTACGCTGGAAACACGTCCGCACCGACGATGTCCCAGCCCGCGCGCTCGAACGTGAGCGCCGTGCACAGACCGAGTCGACCCAAACCCACGAAACCCGCGCGTTTGGTTTCCAGAATGGAATCTGCCGACGCCATCGGGAGAGCACGTGGCCAAGTGTGTAGATGGGGGTGTTGGGCACACGCCGCGTCCAGCGCGCGTCATTTTGTGTGGGCAAACAGTGTTGTACAGGGCGACTTTGGTATCAGTCTGAGGCCTTGGTCTTGAACACCTCGTCACACAAACCACTAAAAGAAAATTACCAACGCGTAGTCATTTCTTGAATAAGGGTTCCCCCAGACGTGTCTTAGTGCCTCGTTTTGTGGTGTGCGCCTTGGTACACCCTCAATGTTGGCCGGGGTCTGTCATTGTGTGCGTCTCTTGTCGCGGGTTTAGGGTTCTAGGGTTTAGGTTTAGGGATTAGGATTTAGAGGTTTAGGGTTTAGGGTTTAGGGTTTAGGGTTTAGGGTTTAGGGTTTAGGGTTTAGGGTTTAGGGTTTAGGGTTTAGGGTTTAGGGTTTAGGGTTTAGGGTTTAGGGTTTAGGGTTTAGGGTTTAGGGTTTAGGGTTTAGGG